AATGCTGATAGTAACGACAGGAGAGAAAGGAGCATCGTTCTATGGCCAACAAGACCATTTTTGAAGTTTTTGAGTTTCTCTCTCCTTATCTGTGAAAAGCCCTAATCCTGATCCTGGCCGCACTCCCAGGAAACACAGTGACGCGTGGGCAGTACATTAGGGAAACTGCACAAAAGGGAGCAGTCTCCAAGTTTGGGTGGTTATTTCACCAGAAAGAGTGCAAAAAAAGAATGTTCTAAAAGTAGCAATTCTTTCAGTCCATTTTTGGGGGCACTTTTTTTTCTTTTTTTTTTGCTATTGCAGCTATTGCTGCTGAAAGAAAGAGAGACCCAGGCCTTTGGAGTCCCTTTCTTAGCCCCTGGCTTTGCCAAGAGGTGATGGCCAGGCACCTAACAGATAAATGCCATGGCATTAAATGGATAAAATACTGCAGCAGATCCAGGTGGTCCCAGCTAAGCTGAAGTCAGACCATGTCTCCTTGCAGAGGAAGAATTCCTGCTCCAACTTTTGGCATCCTTCCCGCTGGCGCTGAGCAGGGATTGGGCCGTGCGATGTCCACCCGAGGGGCAGGGTCTCCTTCTCCTGCTCTTCTCTGTCCCTTGGATTTTCTTTCTCCTCAGCTCTGAGGCCACCAGGCAGCCCAAGCTTTTCTCCTCTCTGTTGATGCCATCAGCCCTTCACGTGGCCCAGCTCTGTTACAGAGACATAGACTTGACTGATACTAGGCAAGTACAATTAATGAAGTCTATCTAGCCAACATCTGACTCTCGTTAGAGGAAAGCTGTTGAAAAAAACAGATCCCAGATTGGCTGTGATTTATGGCTTGGGCCTGTTATCCTTCACGAGCACTGGCAAAAGCTTTTGCAAAGAGCCAGAACACAAACCACATAAGGAAACTTGGTATCCATGTAGAAAGGCTGGAAGGGTCAAATCGGACAAATTAAATCAGGGTAGAGGTGCAAGCCTGGGCTGGCTGTCCCTTACGAGGGCCACCTAGGAGATCTGCACTGATAGCTCTGCTGTGGTACTTGTCTTCTCCTGGTTCTGCTGGCTCCCTTGGTTGATGTCCCTAGTCGGTGTCCAGGCCTGGAAAGTGCTGGAGGTGGTTAGAGGGCAAGGGAGGACTTCCCAGTCAGGTCTGATCCCCAAAATCAAACATATTCATTTTGTCCTATTTAACTTTTATTCCTCTCTTAACCTCTCACTTCTTGGCCCTTAAAAAGGAAACATTGCCTTGGAAATATAAAAGTGAGACTCGGCGGAGAAGAGGGTGTCAGTGAGAGCCTCGAGCAGGCTGCAGCAGGCTCTGCGCTTCAGTTCTCGTGTCCTGCAGCCCCGCTGGGCGCTCTGCCCCATCATGCTGCAAGGCTGCACGTCCAGTGATGGCCAAGGACGGCCTCAAGGCAGCTGCTGCGAATCCTTCAGGTTCCTTAAACCAAACCGGTGAAATGCCAGAGCGCTCTCCCCTTTCCTATAATCCACTGCTGTCTCCTCCTCTCTGAATTATGAATTTTGAAGTAATCCATCAAGAAAAAGAGAGACAGAGCTGTGATCCCTTGAATTTGGTTGAGCTGTGCAATTTGTATCTCCAGAGCATCTGGCTGTAGGGAAGCCAAAGGCCCAGGTAATGTTCTGCAGAGACCCCGGGGTGCAAACGAGCGTGCGCCGCACTGAGGAATGGGGCAAGGTAGCCAGAGGAAGCTTTGCTGCCCCTGGACCCTCTCTGAGCTACAGCCCCACGCTCCCTTTTTAACCCTGTCAGTGCCAGGGCAATAATTGCGATGGAATCATTAGAATGTCTCAATGTAAAGCTGTTGATGACTGCAAAATCCTGCCTGTTTTGATTATCTCCTTTTGGGTGAGGAGCCTGAGGTGCTCTTGGCCACGAGTGGCTGAAGTGAGCAAGTATTTATTGATTAAACCTGGTGCTGCTCAAGACCTGCAAGGCAGGAATACCAAGTGCAAGGCAGCACCTGCGGTAGGGAAAGGCGGTGCTGGAAGTCACTTATCAGAGGCAGGTTTGGGGAGAGAAATCTCCCCAGATGTTGCCTGAGCCCAAAGCTGTGGCTGAGAGAAGGCGTCTTTGGTAGTCCCAGGTCTCTCACATCATGTTGCTCTGTGTGTTCCAGCAAGAGCAGTGTCGGGGGAGCCCAGGAAGGAGAGATGTTTGAGGACGGTAACAGTAAGATATTATAGAAATGAACTGGATGTCTCATGATGCGTTGGGGCAATCTCCTGTTCATTGTCACAATTATTTATCCTCCCTGATGGAGTATTTCTACAACAAATTCCACCATGTGTTTTGAGGTTGGGCTTCACAGAATGAAATCACAACTCTTTGCTTGGAGTTTAGCTGGAAAAATACAAATCGGCCAACTAGGAATATGAGAGAAGTAAACTGTGGTTGTGTGTAGCAGCAAGTGATGAATTTCTGCAGATATGGAAAGCATCTGTGCTGGAATTCCAAGGTCAGCGAGTATGGGTGTTTGTCCCAATGTTATATTTATTGTATGTGGAATAACAATGTGAGACTCTGAAGCTAGTTTTAATAAACCAGCCTGCTTCCTCCCTGATCAGAAAAGTCTACCGTATGGGTGCAGGCCCTGGAATAACCAGCCATTGCACCTGGTAGCTAAATACTTCAGGGCACATTAGTTTGGGAAGATGTTTACTAGCTTAATCTGTCGCCATCTCCTCAGCCTTTCTGCAAGGACAGATGATCCTGCCCTTGAAGAACCCCTGTTTCTGGCATGGTCAGAGCGAGCTCTGAATACAGGTCCTGTTATAGCTGTAGTTAGTATTGGTCTCGCTTTGCATGGTGGAAAGCATCGTGTGTCTGTTAGCTGAGTAAGTGTCAGGAGGGTTTGCTTGCAAGACACTTTGCCGTAGGAATAAAAACTTCTGCATTGGATCTTCTGCTTTCTGAGCTTGTCAAATGTCATTTGGGTCCAAGCCAGGTTCCTTGAACACCCGCTCCTTAAGCTGAGTTTCCAGGCACTTGAAGAAGGAAGAGATCAGAGTTCAAATTGGACTTGTGCTTAATTAGTTCTCTAGCTGATCTAGGCTAGAGTATTTTCCTGTTGTAAGCTGGTTGTTCATCTCCTTGTGGATTGGTAGTTTCACACCTCTGCAGATGGGTGGCACGAACCCTTTCTATGACCTGAGTTCTCCAGGAGTGCTTACATGATTCATGCATCTCATATTCTGGACAGAGATGGATTTCAGACAGTCCAAGTGAGTCTCTCTGAAATCTATGGGAGTTACTAGAATGTGAAAGTCAGCAGAGGGGAGAATAAGGCTCCATATTTTATTTGCTTTGTAACACATCTGGTACGCTTCCTGGCTCTGGGGAGCACTGGAATTATTCAGTCTTATCTTTCTATTGGGGTGAGCAAGATCAAAAGCATGAAACCAGTTACATACAGAACATAACTCTCCATTTCACACATCCCGAGCAGATCCAGACCAAAGAAGCCTCCCCCTCACCGTGGGACTGTGCCTTTATGGCACTTCCTTATTTCATGTTTGTTGCAGAGAATAAAAATAAATAAATTTTATTTCCTCTTGACTAAAAGAAAAGTCCATGACATTTTTGACCCATGAAGAAATTTCTTAATCCAAGCATGCCTGAGATGCTTCATTGGCAAAACGCTGAGCATTATGAAATGGAGGGTGTACGTCTAATTCCTTTGGGATGCTTATCTCGGAGATTTTTTTTTTTTGGTGCACTTTGGGGAAAGAGGGTTAGCAAATTTCTTTGAAAGGTTTTGCGGTGGGTGATGGGTTGCCACTAGCTCTAGAGCAATCTTCTTAGCCTGTAAATCAGCAAGGTGGAGCCCTCAACCTTCCTGACCCTCTAAGCCACACACTTAAATCTACGTATGGCTGACTGCCCTGAGCACATACCGTGTGCTCCATGGAACTGGGAGGTGTTTGTGGGTGAGGACTGGAGATGCTCCTCTGGGACCCTAGTGCAAAATGGGCCAGGATTTGCCAAGGACCCAGCTGGCTTCCAGGTGTCCTTGTCACATTTGGTCTGAACACCCTTGTTCACCCATTCCTCCCCTTGGCTTGGCACTGGAGTAATTCAGCATTGCCTGGGACCACACATGCTCCCAGGTATGTGGTTTCTCATCTGGGACAGGAACAGCAGTAATTCATTGCATGAGTGTGGATGGTTTATTCACTGTAATGCTTTCTGTTGCAAGTAATTTTCCCTTTCTAAAACCTGTTGCTCTTCAGAAGCTGTTAGAGGTGAATTGGACCAGTCTGGAGAGCTTCTCTGATGGTGGGGAATGTGCAGTCCAGTGTTGCTGCGAAGTGATGGGAAAGTGACTTGTTGATTAAATCTCTGTTCAGGGCTTTATCCTCCTTCACTCACTTCAAAATTGCTGAAATGAAAACAGAGGCAAAGCAGCAGGCCTCCTGGTTAGATAAGTGATGTCCTGTGTATCAAGCAATCATTTTAAGCTGCACTCTGAGCCTATTAAGTGAACGTTCGTTCTTGGGAAGACATCCCGTCAAGACCCCTTTGGTGGTTGCTGCCAATCTATTGCTTCTCTGCAATGAAGTGAGATATAAACCACTTCATGCTGCAGCTTTGGTCTGCTCCAGCCCTGGGGTGTGTCTTGTGTTTTCTCACTGTCAGTGAGACTGATGATTTGTTACAGGAGTGGTTACAGGGACCGGGAGCTCAAGGATGGACCAGGACTCCACAGAGAAGGGCATTTTGTTTGCTCCTTGGTTTCCTATGCATTTCTGCAGAATCTAGTGCAGTTCTGCCTTCTGTGCCACCGAACATCCAGAGGAAAGGGCATGTAATGAGTCTGTGGCTCCTCTCACATGCAGCAGAGTTTAATACCTTTCCCCCAAACTGTTCTCGAAATGTTTTTGTGCATGTCTGTCTTATATGAAAAAGAGGTCAGGGACTGCAGATTTAAAGTTGTAGATTAAAATGCAGCGTGTGCAGAAATTACATCCTTTTGCTTTGTTCCTTCTAGAATGCTTGAACTGCACAAGACTAGCAGACATGACTGAGAGGCTAAACACGCTTGAGGCCAAGGTAAGGGCATTGCTTTGTTGCTCTTCTTCACAAAAATTTCCAGGAGTTTGTTGACAGCAAAGAAGAGAGTGAACTTGCAACCCAGGAGAGATCATGCCTCTGTCTTTCCACTTGCAGGTAAGCAGGGACTCCAGAGATAACCCAGATACACATCTGATGTGGCACGAAAGTGATCCCAGAATAAGCATCTGTGTCTGAGAGAGCTGTTTGGTTCTTCACAGTTCAGCTTTGCTCTTGCAGCTTTGCTCTACCCAACTAGCCATCCAGCACTTGCTTTACTCCAAGTTCTGTACGTGCCTTCCAGAGTGAGACTGTTGGTACCGTGAGGACAAAGAGCTTGCAGCAAATGTCCATCCTCAGCCCCCCACCCTGCTGCCCCAGACATGGGAAGAACTTGGAGCATTAGCTGTGCCACTGCTAGGGTGTAATAACCGACTCGTGGATCTTGGTGGGAACATGTTGACATCAGTCAGGTTTGGCCTAAGAAACAGAGACCGGAGTTGGACAAAAGATCACTTCAGCTGGTTAATAAGAAGGTAGGGATGTAAAGCAGTGATCTGCTTAGCTGAGGAAAGAAACAGACTGTAATTCTGATCTGTCTGCCCAAAATGCCCCGTAGAAACCTTATTGATATAGAGGGTGAGATAAAGGACTAATATTATGTCGTTTTTCTATGAGGACAGCTGTTAATTTTTCTGCCCTTCAGATACTGTCCATTCCTTATGCCTTTTCTGAGAGATAAGAAGCTTTTGTGCATTGTTTAGTGGTGAAAAATGTTAAGGGCAGACCTTTGCATTGTGTTTCTTGGCAAATTGTTTTAATTTCTACCTATTGGGAGTCAGATTAATTGTTGTGGTCTAAGAACAAAGTAGCTGAGTCAGTCAGTCCCCTTTGATCTCTGGTCTCTTCTGTGACAGCCCAATCCTGGTTGTTAGATACAGTGCTTGGGTCCCTTTTATGGCATTTGCTGCTGTTATTATTCATTAGCTGATGGTTATCAACGACATAAAAGAATTTGGGGAGAAACTTTTGCAGAGAGAGGTAGATGCGTGGTGATTTTAAGGCCAGTCAATGATATTCTGATAATTTGGGAATTGTCTGAGTTGAAATGAGCAATGTTGTCTGGAGCTTCCTCAAAGGCCTTCAAAGTGATATTTCACTAGGGGAAAATGAAGCGAGGGCAAATGAAATTCTAGGGAGCTGAGTTGTTTGAGTGAAAACAACTGTTGTAGTTGTAAAGAACAAAGATGAAGTGGTGTGTTTTGCTAAACAGTGAGACCTGTCAGGTGAGTGTTCTTTGGCAGCTACGAACTGGAGGCGTTAGGAGAGGAATGAGGGGCTGGTGACTGACCTCTGCGTGTGAAATCCCATGTCCAAGTAAGACAAAGAAACAGCCTCAAAGAGATGTAAATCAGCCTTCTCATGCTTAGCCTGTGGCCAGCTATACCTTCCTTGGCCTTCCAGGGATTTCTATATTTGGCTTACTGGAAAATCATAACCAAAGACTTGTTTCAAAGTCCTCACCTCAGCCTCTGGGCTCTGTTGGCTTGCACTTTTCAATACCTGTGTGAGATAACAAACTATTAAGAGGCTAATGCCTGCCTCTGCAATGAGGCATCTGAGAGCCCTCCTGGGTTATGTGTGAGGTGCCTAAAATGCATGTTTGTCCTCCAGTGGCTGTGAGGAGCAAGTGTATGTGAAACCTGAGCTCAGCTGTGGACGAGGAGGCTCCAAATCTGTATTGTCGTCCTTTCCCGCCTCCTCTTCTGCATGTTATTACAGCCGTCCCCCTAAAACCAGGGATGTAACCAGAATTACTCTCATCTTTCCCATTACAAGAATGAGTTGGTTCATCCAACTTGTAAGATCAGTGTCCAAATGAGGTAATGAAAGTAACCCTCTGATTTTGTAATATGAGAGTTAGCTTAGAAAATGAGAAGCAAGAATAAGCACAGAGATGACAGCAGGAAAAATGATTCATTAGGGACCTGGGCTTACACAGCCCCTGGGGAAGAGAGAGACCATGAGACACAGCTGAATGTGAGGCAAAACAACCTTTTTTCTTTGCATCCTGTGCTCTCAGGAAGGCTGGACAAGGTGCTCCTTGTGGCTGTATGAGTTATTTTGGCAAAAAAATGAGGTAAGTAGGTTAGAATGAGATTCCATTCTGATCTCCCCTGTTTCAAATTACCTTGTGGTCTGGCCTGGATGCAGGTTGAAATTTGCCTGATCCTTTTGATTCATACCAGGCTCGTTTGGGTAGCTGATTGTGGTATCACGAAGAGTGTCCTGGAGTCCAGAAAGTATGTGAGGAGGAAAGGCTGCCCTCTTGCTACGTACCAAATATCTTGAATCTTGCTGCTTTTCCGTGGCACCTTGCTTGACATTACTGCAGCACTAATGGTCCCCTGGAGGCTCCATAGTGGGAGGACAGAAGCAACCCTACTTTTATTCCAAAGGAAAACCTTCTCCTTGGGCCAATACAGCTTCTTTATGGCAGTAGGGTCCAGCCCTTCCTTTTGCACTGCATGCCCTGGGCATGCAAGACTTATGGTAAAGCAAGCAGGCAGCTCTGTAAAAATGCTCATTTTATTCTCCACCCTGATTCCTTGTGATAAACTCCATCAGGGGGTTGCAGGCAATGTGATATTAATCCCAGCTTTTGGTTAGAGCTTGTGTGCAGCACCTGATCTGAGTTGATATAATCCAGTCTTATCTCTTGACACGACTTTTGAGAAGTTCGTGGTGTTCTGCTACAACTTTAATGCTGGGAGATAACATTACAGATCCAGTGTCTGATTGATTCATTGTGTGATTGATAAATGACAGGCATACTTTTTGGATGAAAACAGTCCTTGTAACGTGAATCCCCACACAGAAGATTCTGAAAGTTTTTAAAGAAGACGTGTGCATGGTACACAGTTTCGATCAACCCATTGCTATTTTTATTAAGTCACCTCTTTCATTTAGAAGACATGGTCACATAGCACCTTCACTGCCCTGTATCCTTTGATTCTGAAGCCCCATTTCTTGGATTTTTAATGTAATGGCCAAGCAAAATGATTTTAAATCAGCCTTATCTTGCAAGCAGCTTAATGAAATACTGACATCTGCCTGTGAAACTTTATGGGGTTTGCCTTTTTCTTCTCTGATGGACTTTTTAGCCAGCCTGGTGTAATGGAGAAATATTTGGAAAATAGGATGTTTGGAAAATAGGATCCATGGTACTCTGACCTGGCTGGAAGTTGCGCTAGGAGTGAAAACTCAGTTCCATGGCTGTGAGGCTGCACCTGGACTACGGAGTGAACATTAGGGATTGCTTGATATTTCAAGGGCATTCATGGATATTCCAGGCTATATGGGATTGCACTTGCAGTTAGTTATTTTCTTTCTGTTCAGTAGAGAAAAGAATCTTTATTTCCTCAGCTTTTTTCTAACAAGCAATAATTATTCTTCCAGTTAGGACTCTTGAAGCTCGATAATGACCTTTCTTGGGTTTGGACATGCCTCTGTCCTCCAGCTTGACACTTGCAATCTTTTCATTCTCAACTCCAGTAATTGTTGGATCTTATTTCTTATCACTATTGGAGGGATGGGGAAGTCTATCCCCCAAGCCTGTTCCATGTGTTTGGCAAATGCTGAAAATAATGTGCCAGAACCACAAAGAGGCTCTAAAGAACTCCTCCATGACCTCCCCTCTCATGCAATTGTCTTAAACTTACAAGGTCTGCATTTTTATTCACACACATTTGATATTTTTATTCTATAACTTTGAAATTTTCTATTTTCCTGTAACATGCAACTTGTTTTGCCAAGCAAATCTCATGCCTGTGTTGGTTAGCAAATGCTTTTGTGTGTCTACTACCTGGGAGTATTAAGTTTATCAACTTTGTTTTTAAGGAAGCGAAGTGTTCTTGTGGACAAGAGCAGGTTTCAAAGAGGGAGCCCTAGGGATAGAAGGGCTCAGCTCCTTTGCTTTGTCCAGAAATGCAGACTTCTGCTCAACTCTCATCTGAAATTCTAGTGGAGCTTCGTAAGTAAGATCATAAAGGAAAAGGGACTTGGGGGTTATTTTTTTTTCAGCCAAAAAACCCCTGATTTGCACCAAATCAAGCAAGGAAATGGCAAAGCCCCTTGGCCTTTCCACTTGTGGCTGTTCTTTCTTGCAGGTTTCATTTAGAGCTGAGTGGAGGGGATGAGCAGGGGATTCCTTTGGCCTGTGGAGCTGGTTGATGCAAATCTCCCCGTCACCATCGAGGGCTTCTCACCTGATGAGAACCAGAGAGTGGATCTTAAAGCATGGCTGAGAACAGATGTTGCTTTCATGAGACTGACTTCATCCCAGCCTGGCCGGGCTCCGCATCCAGAGTGCCATTACATCCCTGGCGGGTGACACGCAATAAATTGGGCAGAGAAGAATGATGTGATTTTGAGGATAGAAGGTTATAGCTGCAGTTTATTTTTATCAGGTGTTTCAAAGTAATAAGGGGGCGGATCTGATTTCACTCTGAGCTCCTTTGTTTCCTTCGCTCTGCAGCAAGCTCTTAGCACGGCCTCAGGGTTGCTGGATGCTTTCCATGGCCTGCTTCCTGCCCTGGCTGTGATGCACGGGGATGTCAGTGGTGGCCGGCCCACAGGCTCACAGCAGGGCAGACACATCTCCAGCATGCAGCAATAGTAGCCAAGCTCCCGAAGCAGCTCCAAGAACTGGGACCCACGAGGGCTGCAGCCACCAGGAACCTGCCTGCAGGAAGGAGCCTATCCCTGGGCTTCCCCTTGCCCTGGCTTCCTGCTGCTGCCTCTCCGGTAAAGTCTCATTCATCTGAAGATACTCTGAACTTTGCCGTTTTTTGCCTAAACTATTACCAGCTTGTGGTTTTCTGAGAAGTTACAAGTTGGGGAAACAGTCATTTGCTGCATCTTCTTTTCAGGAGTCCCTAGAGTCGTGCAAAAATACACCTTTGCTGAAAGATCATGGGCTATACATGATCTGGGAGTTGGCAGAAACCTTTGCTTCAGGTTTTTGCGTCTTCCACACAATAGCTGATGACATAAACCTTGCCTTTTGGTCTGCTGTGGGTCACAACGTTGACATCAACTATCGCTGCCTACATAATTAATCAATGTAATGAAAACTCCTCCATGCACTAATTATCTTGTCCCCTTTGGCCACAGCTTGTAGGATGCAATAAGGATGAAGTCACTCCCGTTTTCTTTTGACACTCGGTTCATTAGATTTTGGTAGACACTTACTGAGTGTCTGTTGGCTTTTGAAACCAGGCAGTCAGAGCAGGGTCCACATTGGAGCCTTCTAGTCACAGGTTTCGTAATGCTACAGAAGAGATACCATTCTCCATTGAATGCTCTAAAACTCCCAGTTTAGCTCTGTGTCTGGATAAATGATTAAAAACTGCCCTTTTATTTGCCAAATAATTTGCTATATAGAAAGATATGTCCAACTAGTTATGCAATTACCATTATTAATCACTTTGCGTCTTTACGAGATCAAAGGAGTCTTATTTTACAGTGGAATTTTTCACTGATGAGACTCATGCTCAGTTTCTTTCCCTCCTCTTTAAACAGAGGTAGAGGGGATTTCATTCTGCCAGTGCTTTGAGAGACCAAATATCCCCTGTTTATCAACTAATAATGTCCGTCTGGATTATATCCCTGTGCATTTCCATGGATTTTAATCTAAAGAGAAAAAGAAAAGCTCTCTGAACCCTATTGTATTGATTTTGAAATCTTTGGAAGTCCGGCTGTTCTTCCTTTGTTTGTAGCTCCTACTAGCAATGAGACTTCAGGAATGCAAGTGGAGGATGGATGAAGGGAGGAGGCTGTGCTTGTGAAATCTTCTTTTGATGTGCGGGAACAACCAAAGTAGGGTTCCTGAAAAGCACTGCAAGCCAAAACCTCCACTGAGACCGAACATCTCAAAAAGATGGAAGCCTTCCTCCCAAACCTGTTGTCCCTGGGCTGAGCTTTTGATGTGACATGAGAATGTGGTATGTGTCTGAAGTCTAGAAAGTTTATGCTGGCAAATGCAAAAGCGGGGAGGTGGGACTGAGCTCCAGCTGATGTCCCAGCTGAGGACCCTGTGCATGAGCAGGTCCTGCAGTGAAGAGCTGGGATTTGAGCCATGGGTGAAGATGCTTTGTAGGCAAAACCTAGAGGCTTTGCAGGGCCCAGGGTTGAGTTTCTCCCACAATAACCTCTGCCTGTGGCCTGCAAAACCCTTGGCCGGTGCTGTGAGTTATCCCTCCTGTGTTCCTCACGTGCAGAAACACAACAGCCCAAGTGTTTCTCTGGCTTGAGACCATCCTTCACCTTCTTCAGTACCACACAAACAGGAGAAATGGCCTTGCCATCAGCCCTGCCTGCCACCCTCAGAGAGTGCTCAGCATCTAGTTCCACTCTGTCCTTTCTACAGAGGGTGATGAACATCACCCACAGCATCAAGATGCTTTTCAGTCATTCCTGTGATGTCATTAGGGTGTTTTCTGCCTTCATTCTCCATTTTCCTAACAGCTCTTGCAACCGATAATGGTAACACGGGTAGGCAGTGTTTGGAAACACAGATTTCCAAGCTGCCCATTCTTACTGAGTAGGTTTTATCCTCCTCTCTCCTGCAACCACATCGACTAGAAAGTAGCAGGACTCTAATACCAAGGCTTTAATACGTTACATGTCTTGCTAATTTGTTTTCCAGCTGAGAAGCTCTGTGGTATCATTGTCCAATAGTTTACTCAGAGGTTTAGAAAAATCTCTTTTTTTTTTTTTCTTTTAACTTAATGAAAGTGGGAATTCTGCTCAGGTCCCTTGACTGTAGCACTGGCAGCTTTAAGAAAAACAGAAAGAGGTAGAAAATAGATGACTGGTGCTTGTACAGTAATGCCCAAGGACTCGTTCGTGCTGTGGGCTGTACAAGCTTGCGTTGGGATGCTCCTTGTTGAAAACGTGCAGTTTGAAAATTTGGGTGAGACTAAATCCCTCATGTTTTTCTTATCGTAATTTGACCCTTTGATTCCCACAGATGTGTGATCTGTCCTTGTTCTGTTTCACTTTTTTTGAGCGTCCTTCCAGTCCTGATGATAAAAACTGAATTTATCAGCAATTCCAAGACCAGAGTTTCCCTGATTCACTTTGTGCCCAGGGAAAACAAGCTTGTTACTGTAGCTTGAGCCTTAAAGACTGTAAAGTATATATAGTCCATTTATAAAACAGGATTATTTTGTGCATGCCTTAAATCTTTTGCAGCATTTATCAGCAGAGTACTCATTCAGAGCATATTGTTTTAATGAAAAAGATACCGCTGCCACTGTTTTATGTTGATTATGCGGTAACACATTTTTATTATCACCCATAAAAATGATTTGGAATGGCTCTGCTTCAGATGCAGCCTTCAGCAGCACAGCACTAGCTGCAGAGGGGCCCCAGCCCCGGCGGCCGCTGCCAGGAGTTGTTGCTTTTTGCTTTCTTACCTCTCAGAAAGCCAGACCCCAGGTGAGTGAATACGGATCCTTGGAAGGAAGCGTTTTGCTTGTCTGTTCCTTTGCACTAGGTTCCTTTGCACTTAGGCTTGCTCCCAGTTTAATTAGTGTCCAATTCCCTCCCCTCGGGCTAGAGCATTTTGCAGCAAGTTCATTATTTTTGCCTCTGCTGTAGTGCTGCCTCTCTTAATAAATAAGTGATGAACTCTGTAATAACTGCAAGCTAAAAACAAGCACGCAGAGCCAAGTCCACCCTCATTTGTAACTGCAGTGTGACTTCCTTATGTGAGGGCAAACGTGGCTAGTAAAAGCTAAAAATTGTCAGAATTTAGTGGGACGTTTGAGTCGTATTCTCTCCTATTTCCCTTATCTCCAAATCAGTATTTGTTTAGGTGGTTCCCAGTCAGGATAAGACGATGCTGTAGCAGCTGGCTGTTACACTGAGGGTGCGAGCATGGCCAACGCAATGGCTGTGGACTCCTGGACTACTCCTCAACTCGCTTTAGCTCCTACTGAGCAATTGGGTTAAGCCTCAGTTTATACCATGGCACCCATGCTTGATGCTCTGAGTCCATGTTCCTGACTGGTTTGTAATTGAAAGATTAGTTTGGTTTATCTGTTTTTAAAAAGTCACAAAGGCTATTTTGTTATCTCACCCTTGCTTAATATCATGTAGATTGGGAAGATATATATATTTATACAGTCATAAGAAAAATATAATTTAACCTATTGGTGGTTGTCACAGAACGAGTGGTGTGGGGGGTGAGTGATACAGTGCACTTTGCTTGTGTGAAGGAAATTTCACACAAGTTTTATTGATATGGACAATGGTTTCATGAGATTCTGTGGCAGGGTTGCTCATTACTTACTGCGTGGAGGTTCAAGATAATACATGGAATTATCTAGGACACCCCCCATTGAGTCACAAGGTTCAGGCTGGTCCCTTCTTGCTTTCCAAGCTCCTCCTGAGAGGAGTCTGGATGCAGCTGGATCCAGTCCTAGTCCCAGACCTGGTCAATGGTTTATCACTAAGGGATTTTGTGCACAGTTACAAAATAAAGTTTACAAGTTCAGAAGGAGAGCGCGCTGTAGTCGTTTACCACACGTGTTGTGGTAAGGATCTCTCAACCCTGAGGAGTATCCTTGAGAGGCATCCCTGCTCAAGGGGACATCCTGGCATGCAGCCCTCTGCCATGTAAGGAGAGCTCAAGGAGCTCTTGGCTTGTCCCCACATTTATGGGATAAGATGATTGACTTATAGTCATTCTTTCATTTCAGAGGACTTTTGGCTAGTGTATGCAGTTACCCTTATCTCCCCATCACGAGAGTTCAGGACTGTTATTGCTGGTTAATGCCTGAGTGGGGGAAGAAATCTAGGAGGCGCCTCCCATGACCAGATGATATCCCTGGTGGTTGACACCTGAATAGTGCTATGTGTGAAAAGGCAGGTTGAGCTGGGTAAGGAGCACATCTGTCACAGAAGTGAAGTGCACCGAGTGCTCCCCTGGACTTATCTTCATCTCCTTTTGTCAGTGGGCAGAGACCACCTGGCTCGAGTGTCCTGCACTTCTCATGAGCATTTAGGCTGTTTGCAGACTGACTCCTAGGCTCGTGGCCAGCAAAGCAGAGCTTGCTGAACAGGAGTCTAAACCACAGAGTGAGAACAGACTCACTTTACGAAGAAGCTTAAATAGTAAATGGCCCAAATTGCTGAGCAACACACATGGGGATGTGGATTCATTTGAAGGTAGCATGTTTACAAGATACAGAAACAGCTGTGACTCTTTGTAATACCCTATTACTACTAAGCAGTGTGCTTTGAGGAAATTGCCTGGCTCGTCTTTACTCGCACCATAATTAAAACATTTCAGCTCTTTAAAAGCTTCATGTTCTCTAGCTTCTTTAATTTGCTTGCATTTGGACTTTGACTTCCAGACAGAGCTTGTCCTGCAGCATCTTCATTTTCTAACCTGGGGCATCCTAATGCCCTTCAGCTTGGATCACCTTTTAGTCATTCCTGACCTGATGGCTCTGGCTTTGAGCAGGTAACCTAGAAGACACAGGCTCTGTGCCCTAAAACCTGCTCCATGTTCTGCCAGACTTTTCTCCCCAAGGAGATGATCCTGCACGATGCTGAGCATCTCCACAGGCAGCACAGCACTCACTAAGGAGGGTGTGTGGCTTCCATTGGGAACCTTGAGGGGTTTATAATGGCAGCTCCTTATTCTAATTCCTGCCAGCAAGACAGAGGAGCTTTAATACCAAAATGCTGCAGCCTGTGATGTGCAGTTATGCACAGCTCCTGCTGTCAAGGCAAAGAGTCCCTGAATGTCAGCCTCTCTCTGAAGCGAGCCCCTGCACGGAGCCCTCCTGCTCACTGTTTCCCTTCCTCTCTTTCCTATCTAGATTCTTCTGCTTGAAGCGGCAGATAGGAGCCCACCTTTGGAAAACAACCTGCCAATCACTGGAACTACAGCTACGTGGTACGACGATTTGCTGCCTGATGCCTTCCCTCTGCTCAACCCTGACACCATCTTGCAGAAAACAGTGGAATCTGTTGGTAAGAAAATCCTCCCGCCCTTCACCCAGCTTCAGCACTGTCCCCGTAGGGCAGCTGAGCAAGAGGCCCACTTGACCCGACTGAACCTGCGTGGCAGAGGGGTCTGTGCCAGTCCATAAAGGAGAAGAGGGTTAAGATTTTCAGGTGGGCCATCTCTCTTCAGAGTGAAAACCACCCTGCAGAGAGGCATTTGGAGGACTCTCAGCCTCTGTTTTAGGATGGAACCAGCACTAATTAGCTTTATGGTCTGATTGCCTCAAACCAGAGGTCTTAGGTCTCACTGTTGCCTCTTGTCCCTCCCTCTCTGACGAGCTGTGAGTGCAACAGTTGGTGTTCATGCAACAGTGAGTGCAGGTTCGTGGACAAAGAGGGAATTTAATCCTCACCAGTGCGATCTCAAGCCACCAGTTTAGACACAGAGAGCTGAACATGATTTCCTCATGGCGGTGAGAATCACTCTTGCGGGAGCTGAGCAACCTCCAGCTTTTCTCCTCAGGCCTCTACCCCTTTCTGTGGCTGGGCAAGCACAGAGCAGTCATGCTTCAGCTCAGCTTCGAACGTAGTGTTTTAGGCTTCTTTTGCCAGTCTTAAGGGTCTGACCCTAAGCCCTATCTCTGCTGGTGCAAGAGTGCACCAAGAACTGAATTGTGGTTTTAGCAAAGTGAGGTTTCCGTTACCCTCATACCCGCCGTGTCCTTCAGTGTGCATGTCCGAGGACTGTGGATTTTCAGGCACAGACAGATTAAGACATTCCTGAAGAAGCTCCAGAGAGCCAAGGCAGTTACAGAGGAGCAGTTACTGCTTGTCTATATGGAGTCAGGTAGAGCATTTCCCAGGCAGAAAGCAGAGGGTTGGGGTAGGGGTAACCCTGGCCTTAATGAGGAGGAACCTTTTCACCATGAATAGCAACATAAGTTACACTGTGTGTTATATTTTTTAAATCTACCATAAACACAATGGGCTGTTTTATGATCCCTCTTGTGGCATGAAGAAAAAATACGTTTTTGAGAAAGCTCGCTCTGAGTCTTTTTGGCTAGACAGATCACCATGCATTGAATTTCCTTGACCTTAGCATTCTCACTTCAAGATCCCTGCTCTCTGTTTCCAAAGTCAGTCCTGTCTGTCAGTCGCTTTGCCAGCTCCCAGGGAAGTTTTTATCCTCTATAGGCCCTGCTTTGCCTTTTTTTTTTCTTTTAATTATCACAGCCCTTCCTGACTGCAGCAGACATGGAGCAACCAACATAGACCAGATGTCATCCCTGTTTATAATTTGACAAGCTGCCACAACATGGAGGGAGGTTCGCTAACAATATGTTCCTCAAAGCATTTTCAGAACCATGGTGGTGGCTGCCAGGAACTGAATTGAAGCAGTTTCCCCTGGTGTCCATTATATGCTCGTTCCTCCTTCTCCATGTCATTTATTTTTTTGCTGTTGCAGTGCCTCTGCATCTGCACCTCGTTGTACTGAAGTCAATCCGGCAAAAGCATTGGTGACTCTGTCCCTTCCACTTAAACATCTCCTCATGCCTGAGGCTCCCTCCACAAGTTTCTCTGTGCTCCATAGGGAGCAGGGAATTGCCCCTCTCCTACACAGTGCTGCAAAGCAAAGTTGTTCTCCTATACAGGTTGTATCAGACTGGCTCTGTGATCCTGTATCAGCAGGAGGAGTGATCCTCCATCCAGCAGTAAATCCAGGAGGTAGCTTGAGGTCTCCTCTCAAAAACACACACCACGTGTAGTCCTTGCTCGTCGTTACCTTCTATTTGCTCCAGCCTTGGTTTATTTAACTTAGTGCAGCATATCAGCTGGAGCATAATACCCAGACATCAGGGTGCTCAGGGCTATTTTAGGTCAGGACAGTGTCTTTCAGCAATTGGAAGTGAGCAGCTGTTCATTGAAGTGTGATCCCCCGGGCTGCTGCCACCCTGCAAAGCCCAGCTCTTGCTTTACTCACGTGCTGTGAGGTTATTTCCTGCAGTGGGGTCTCCGTTGGGCTCCCATCCCTCCCCTTGTCAATTAGTATTTATAATTTAGAGCCAACCAAAAAATGCACTTTGGATTTTGCTGAAATGCAGGGAATTTGAGGAAGCTGGTCTAGGATGGGGGAGATTGCCCCTTTTGTGTGATTTCAACACAGCGCTTGAATTTATTGCACAAAGCTGGCCCAGGCTCATTTAAATGGATGGTAAGCCTGGGAGACCTCTCAACAGAGGTAATCCTAGGTTAGGTCAAAGTCAAAACCGAGTGTTTTATGTGCTTTGGGATTGTGGAAAGCTATGCCAATGGTCCTCCCATTCCCTTGCCCAGAGCTCTTTGTGAAACATTGCCTACTTTGTCCTGCTTTTACTTTCCCAGCCAAAGCAGATTCAAATCCTAGCTTGCACACTGCCAGCTTTGCAGAGCAGAGGCACCAGGGGCAGGATGTCGCTGCCTAACACCAGGAGGGTCGATGGGGGCCCGATGCTTTGCATAGTGAGTGGGTTTCCGAATGACTGCATTTCCATTTCCAATGGATAGCTCGGAGCTGGCTGATGCCTTTCCAGGCCCAGGTCCAGGAAAACCTGCTACTGTTTCTTAGGGTAGCTATTTCTTCAGTGACTGACAGGGCTGAGAATAGACAATCGTTTAAAAGTAATCAGAGCTGTTGAGACAGCTGCACTACTGGCCTTTCTGATCAGCTTGTTAATCAACAGGATACATTTTACTGAGCATTAAGAAAATATATATGCTCTGCCTGAGCCAGTTGGCAACAGGAGACCTAATTTTTCATCTCTCTCCCTTTCTTTTTTTTTTTTTTTTTTTTTAACCCTGACCCTCCTAAATTTGAACCCAAAGGACGCAGAGGTGTAGAAGAACAGTTAATACCACAGGGTAAGTGAATATAACCTACTATTTCCCTCTTTTAAAGCACAAAATGTCACCATGCCCAGTCTTGTGCATGGTCTTGTGCAAAGAAGTAAGCTACAAAGTGGCTGGGTTTCTTCTTGGGGTGATGTTGGTTCATGGACTGCTCATGGTTCATCAGCACCAGTTTTAACCTCTTTGAGACATTTGATTACCCCAGCAGAACAAGCTGAAAGCCCAGCCCAAGGGCAAGCAATGACAGCGAGCAGGAGAAACGCTGTTCTTGCCTTCTGGTGTCGGCTGCCAGGGGCTCTGAGAGCTGCCGTGGTGGTCAGAGCATCCATTCAAACAGGCACTAACATCCTCCACTCTAAATAGAGAAAAAATAGAGAAGGAAAAATAAAAAACATATTTAAAAAAATTATAAAGAAGCAGAAGAAACTGCTTCTCTAAATAGAGAAGGAAAGAGGAACGGAGGTTACTTTGCAGGCTAAAGTAAGGCCGGAAAGAAAATCCAGGGTTCTGCTTTAGTCTCTGGCAGTAAGATATTCACCCTCTACCTTTTTTATATTTCCCATAGCCCTTCCCATAGAAGGCATGAGAGCTTTCATGGGCTTTGATTCTCTGAAAGTTTGATGTCACCACGGCAGTGCTGATTTATGCCAGCTGAAGATTTGACCTGTTCGTTTTCCTCCACCTTTTGCACTGAATCTTTCCCTCTGCCTTTTCCCTTTTGCACTAGTTCTCTTTTATGCTGATAACGCCATTTGTCACCAGCATGAGCATTTGCCTGGCACATTGCTCAGTGCCAGGCTTTCTGTTAGTGCCTTCCACCTTCAGGAAAGAAAGTGCCCGCTTCTTTAAAGCTCTACTGCAGCGGCGTGATTGAGGATGCTAGCAGAAAATGATTGCTCTGCATCTCTAGAAGTTTGCAGGATTGAGTTGCAAAGGTTGAAGTGGATAACTCAGGCTGATTTATACACAGGAGGAAAAGCTTTGACCCATGCTCAGAAGCACAGTGTGTTGTGCTTGCAAAACAGTCAGCATTTCTGCAGTTCTTCCCTCTCAGCAGGAAAGGATTTGCTGCAAGAAAGCTCCAGGTGTGTTGTGGGCTGTTTGGTCGGGGAGAAGAAGCTGTTTGTGATGCTCTGAACAAATAGTGATGTTCTCAAGGGGCTCCTGCTCCCCTGCCTGAGCTGGTGGCTGCCTGAGCCACAGTATGGGGCAGGGGATCTTAGCCCAGGTCTATTAAAGGTGCCCTGATGCCCCAAGGAGAGGGTGCAGTTTGTGTCCCATGGGCAGGCAAATTGCTGCAAATGGAAACCTTAGCTCGGTGTTCAGTACTCAAACCAGACCTTTGTGGATGATACAATTTTTAAAAAGGTGCTGATCAATTAATTACTGATCAAATTACTGATTGAATTACTGATGACTTAATTACTAATCAAAGGTGCGTACACACATATACCCCCCCATACATATGCACATACAGCCTTTGAAATACCCATTTTTCAGTTTTCCCATGGACAGGAGATGGATATAACCTCATTTTTATAAGAAAATAAATGAATGATCAAAAAGAAGGAAGGAAAGGGTAATCTTTCAGAGTGATCTAATATTGTATAATTATTGCTTTTCTCTGTAAAGTGCTGAGAGTTTAGATGAAGGTCCAGGGGACTTGGTGTTGTGTCCCAGGCAGGTTGTCCCACATGTAGGGTGCAAACTGCATCCGAATGTGGGAGCTGCAGATCCCTGAGCCCTCATCTTTATATTACGTGTGTGTGCAGGTCAGCCAGGACAGGTGGGGCCTCCAGGCCCAGTTGGACCAACTGGTCTCCCAGGACCACCAGGGCCAAAAGGCGAGAAGGGACAACCCGGCGAGAGGGGACCCGCAGGACCACCAGGTAAGTCCCAGAGGAGCCCCGTGGCAGCACAGTAGCTGTCTCGGTGCTAATTGTCAGTGCAAAAAGATTGTAAAACACACAAGAAATTGAGCATCCTGCTAGTCCCCAGGGCACTGAAATCAGCCATTGGCTGTCAGGGCTGGGCTCTGAGCTACACAAGCAGCAGTATTCCCTGGGACTTCCCATGGAGCTGGGGAGAGCTTATCCCAGAAAGCAGCAGAGCAGGATCATGTTTCCCCATCCTGTTCAGGAGCTGTAAAAACCAGCCCCAGATCTGTCAGCCCTCAGAGAAGATCAGTCCCTGCTTAACCCTCTCACTGCTTTAACTCCCCTTCTTTCCTGCCTGAGGAAGAAAGGGCTGCAGTTTCTGTCAGGCTGGCAGATGGCAGGATGTGAAACAGATGATGCTGTTGTAGAGCGAGGTGAAAAGGTTATGAGACTGTTCTTTCCGACTGTATCCATTCTGGAGCTAGGAGATTCTCTCCATCCTGAAAATATTCCTGAAGCGTTAGGTGGAAGCAGTGCTACGCAATAGCTGCCAGATCTCATTCTCTGTGCTCTCTATGTATTTGCAAGTTTGAGCTCAGGAAAAAGTTTAAGATACCTTAAACACAAAAGCAGTCTTAAACACTTCTTGGCATTTTCTGGCAACCCAGCAATGGCTAAAGTCTGGCTAGGGATGTGTCTGCCTTTGGTTTCTCAGGAAGAAATGGGAGCCTCCAGCTCCAAAGGAAGTAGAACTGATCTGCGCCTGGCCTGGGTTTCTGCTGCTCTTTCTGTGCTTTCCCAGCAGCTGGGTGACATGCAGGTGGAAGAGAAGAGAAGGATCTGCTCCGGATTTCAAGCCCTGTAGCCTTTAGTTTCCTCTGCAGCTTCAGGGAAGGGGGTCGATTTTACTCTTTGAGGAATTAAGCTAACAATCCTTTTGAGCCAAGTGAAGCCATCTGCTTTGCAGAGGAAGAAGCTAAAGGGGAATAGGAATAGCTTCCCGATTTTCCATGTTTAATTGGGCCCCTTATCCTCACAGTTCCAATTCAGGATAGAAATCCTCTACTGCTAGTAAGGCGAGTATATTGTGGCGTTGATATTCTGAGAGCACACTGGGAAGAACTGAGAGTTTTCTTTTGCTTTTGCTCTGTGGTTTCTCTGTGCATGTTTTCCATCTCCACCACATCTATCCATGTTGGCTAAATTTTCAGGGAGGTTTTTCCTTCTGGCCTGGAGGGAGCATCTCTGTCTGGACTCTCTGTTTTCCAGAAGTTGATGATTGCTGCTCCCTGACTTTTAGCATGGTGTCATCTATCCACAAATTTACTTAGAGATCCTCTTCTGCTTCTGCACAGGACTGCTGGGACCTCAAGGACCAAGAGGACTTCCAGGAGAAACTGGGATCCCTGGTCCCCCAGGTCCTCCAGGACCACCAGCCACCCCAAGCCTCCCCCTTACCTTCCAACAAGGGGTCCTCTACTCCCTGCAGCCTACAACTGAGAAAGAAAGTAAGTGTCCTCCTCGGTTTCCCTTTCTGACACATCAGCAGAATGGGCAGACACACTTTTTGTACAGGTGAGGAAGCATCAGTGGGGAATAGGGCTTGAGGATTCATGTTCCCTATGCCTGGTTTTCTGGGCTCAACATAGCTTTGAGGAGGTGACATGGCCTCCTGAAGGCTTGCTTCATGCAGACCAGGGTAGCTGCTGTGAAGAACGTCCTTAAAGATGCATTAGGGCCCTGATAGTGTCACTGTGAGACAGGAGCAGAGATATATAGTGTGTAACTGGTTAAATCCTGGTGCAATGAACTTGTGCTGTTGTCAGATCTCCTGGGGCTGCTTGTGCAGTGTTACGTCCCAGAAATGAATGAGTACTGCAGATCTGCAGCGCTGAGGTTATGTAACATAACGTGGGCATCTGCTAAACACACTTTCCAGCCACGCCCCCCACACATCTCCCCACCTGCAGTTTTTGATATAGCCAAATTCTCTGGCCTCCATGCAAAGCACAGACCTGCAGGTTTAAAAGCCCAAACCAAGGCAATGATTTATCCCTTCCTTCTAGCCAAAGGGACAGTATTTTTTTTTTTTTGAGCCTGTGGTAATAAAAAAAAAATCTATTTACTGGATCTCTGTATTGCAGGGCAAGAAAAGGCTGTCTAGGAAATGCACATCGTGCACTCTGATCTGAGCGCTCTCAGAGTTGGGCTTGGTCTCATTTCTTCCAGTTCAGTATTCCATGGCTAGTGTCTAATGACAGCACAGCGCAGCTCAGCCTTTTCCCCAGCCAGCTCACCTCCTGCTTCAAAGCTGACTTGTATTAATTACAGCTAAGGATTAGCAAATCTCCCCATGTCTGGTGTTTTTCTAGAGCTTTCCTTTTCCTTCCACCCACTCTCCTCTCCAGACTGCTTTTCCTGAAATGGAGTGGATGTATTAAAAATACAGCCACATTTGGGAGAATTTTAACAGCTCTGCTCTGTGTTCAATTATTTAGAGTGTACGGGCAGGGTTACATTAATTGTGGTTCAATACCTGAGTTCTTAACAAAATGCAGACTGAGCTACTGCACTCAGGAGCCTTGTAAGCAGATTTTCCATTGCAGTCATTTCACTTCCTCACAGGATACCTCCAAGTAGTGCTCATATTGGATGGTGCTGCTCTTGATTCAGCCTTTTATTCCAAAGGCTCCTCAGGGATGATTTTGATACCACCACTGTCCCCTCCCTACCCACACCCTCCAAACAGAGCTGCTTCTTGCACAGTAGTGAGGAATTAAGAAGTGCATAATGGCACTGCATGCATTGCACAGCCTTTCTAGGAAGGATAAACTCCGTATTTTTGCAGACCATGAGGTTTCTCTGCGTTATCCCTGCCACCAGTGTGCAGCAGCTGGCTTGCACAAAGACCTGGGGGCTCTGAGCAAACGGTGGCTTTGTAGCCCTGGGCCAGACCTGTCATCTTCCTCCATGTCTATGATGGATTTCTTGGTATGCAGAGAGAGCAGCCAGGACCCTGTCTCAGGGGTGTGTGCTGACAAGGCTTGATTTATCTCCTCTTGGAAGAGCTAGGGAACTGATATAGTCTAGAGGTTTCAAAATTAAGGCCTAATCCTGTGTGGAATTAAAATATTGCTGTTTCAGAGTCTAGCCACGACTGTTTGAGCTCTTAAGCTCTCTCCTGGATTTATAATCAGGGTCATTTAAGAAGCAGAAAGCTCTATATTCCCTGGTGTTTTATATTGCAGAGGACTGATTAAATAAATCTGAGTGTTACTTTTGAATGATACGCCCTAAATGGTACTTGGACAAAGCAGACAGCGCAGGACGTGTCCCTTTATGCACCTGCCACGACCTCTTCCAACACCGACAGCTTTATTCTAAATGTCACATCTGAAAAATTGAGAATTTTTTCCACCTCCAGTTCATACTTTTTGGAATCCCCCTGCCCTCTCCTGTAGATTATGGTGGGTCGGCAAGCCAGTCAGTGTTGCCTTCTCAAAGCCTGGTGGAAAGCTGATCCTTAGCAACCAATAAAGCGTAGCCTTGCAAATCTCAGATAGGTTTTTATTTATTTATTTTAATGGAGCACATCTGAAAACTATAAACATCAGATTCCAGCTGCTGACAGCAGAGGGAAGCACATTCCTGCTAATGGGCATGTGCACCCACAGAGATGTAGGAAAGCTGTATCAGTTTATGAGTAGTAGTAGTAGTGCAGTATTTTGTTCCACCTGAACATGGTTAACGCACTTGCCTTTATTAATCACAGCAAGTTCCTGTTGGCAATGTTTATCAGCAGACAGAAGCCAAAAATGGGGAGACAACTATTTTCTCACTGTTCCACTATGCTGCGGTAAAGAAATAGCTCCCAGTGGTCTCTCTCCAGATCAGGTAGCAGAAAGAAATTAAAACAGGATTACTTCATTTCCATCCTGTCTCAACAAATCAAGCCTATAATGGGGGAATTTATCCTTTAGTCATAAACATTAGACACAGGCCGGAAGCTAAACTGCCTTATCCCACTGCTCTGGCTGCTGCTGCAAGAATCGCCTGCTTTCTTTTCTGCTTAAAAATAAGTGTTCAGATATGTGGTCTCAAGTCCTCTTTCAGCTCAGTTCTATTTCTCCTGTTAAAGGTAAGAAATATTTATGGGCCAGAGGAGAAAAGACTAGAACTTGCACTCTGCTGAGGGTTCTCTTTTCTTGCATTTCAAAGATTTGCAAATGACATAAAGATCATTTGCTACTGACCGATGCTGGAGCTATTTGTGACTGCCACAACAGCCTCCAGCTGCAGTCCCAGAGTCCCCCTAGTTATAATAAGCAGGAAAGAATGGAGATTTGAGTTGTTCTTGCTGCTTTATAAGGATATGGAAGAAGCCCTTAAAAAAGGAGGTTAGTTTTATCACACTTTTATCCGGGGCTATTCTTAGTGTGTTGCATTGAGAGCCTGTCTGGAAAGAAGCTTTGACCTCGGTGAGTTTTGCATGGCCAGGCAGCTGTAGATGGAGCAACTCCCTGTCTCCTACAAATACCTGCTACTGTGCAGAGATCCAGTGAGGAGCCTCTGAGCTCCCAGGCTGTTGAGCAGAGCTCTGTTTTTTTTTTGTGTGTGTATCCCTGTTATGGAATCACCTTTTATAATTTACTTGGAGTCAAATTTACCTAAATAAAGGATAGGTGGATTTCTAGGGATTAACTCTGTCACCATAACAATGTTTGGTTGGAATCTTCTATAACCCATATCCTTATCCTTGCCTTCCCTCTAGCAAGAATTAAATCCTGATAGCTTGCAATCCCCCTTCCCCCTCGACTGGATGTTCATTTGATTTGTTGACCATGAGGCCTTTAAAAACAAAAGGCTCTGCGACTGTTAATGCCTTCACTGCCATTCAGGGCTCATTCCCTGATTTTATCTCACTTGCCAGCCTTGATGGATTTTGACATGGTCAAATAAAACTCACATTAATTGGATTACACACATCAGTTGGGTACCTTTCCTTCCGAACATGAAAATAGTCTCTGTTGTTTTGTTTCAGAGCTCGGAAGAAGGGAAGATGGATAGAACTGGAAAAAATAGCCAAAGCAATACCTGTTTGCATTCAGGCTTTAGGCATGGAATGTGGTTCTCGGGGGGATCTGGGGTAGATCTCACACTGTTCTGCTGCCAGGAAGGCATTGCAGGGTTATATTGTCATGCCTGGCAGTTAAAGAGATTTCACAGTTTTCCCTAGGAGATGCTTTCAAACAGCCAGCTTGAAAGTCTTCTCTATCCCTGACAATGCTCCTAAAGTTGAAAAGGCTTCATACTGCATCTGCTAACATTTCTGGAGATTTAATGGTATACCCTTTGGGCAGGACTGTGCCCCTGCAGAGTATGCAACACCCTTCTGATCTTCCTGGTGTCACTAGACATTTGCATCAATAGATCAGGGAGCCATATGAATATAAATAAATTTGAGATCGTGGGCAGGAGATGATGGATGTTCTTCCTCCATGATGGCCTCCAGGTTCCTGCAACTCTAAAACGGTGTCTTAGGACAATTAAATGAAAGATGCTGCCACGCACAGACTGCTGGTATGCTACAATATAGGTCTCTAGGGAGAGGGTTGTTGATTTGGGTTTTAGAATAGCAGTGAATAAGCAGAGTTGGTTTCTTTTTTTAAAATAGACCCGTTTTTTTCTATTCAGTTACAATTTGAAGTGGCAAACCCATGGCTACAAGAGTGAAGAAAGATATGGTCAGCTGCAGGCTGGTGATTTTTGTCCCTGACAGGCATGGGCTAAGGAGGAGGCACAACAGCACCAAATTCCTCCAACTCCTGCCGATGCCCTTCTTCTCCCTGCCCCATTCCCATCTCCATCTGCACCCCAGAGCACTCTGAACCTGCCCAAACTGGCCAGTTGAAGTCCTAAAATAATCCCGAAAGGCAGAAGGGAGTTTCCTGGGAATGTGGAGGAAGCAGAACACAGGCTGTCCACTGGGCTTGCCCGTGTCCTCGGACCTGCTGGCACTGTGGGCCTGGTGCCAGGTTGTAAGAATTGCTCAGAAGTTCATTTGTGGCAGATACAGGGAGACCATGCTACCTGTGTGACTTGTCCAGATTCCAGATGCCTTTGTGACTTGCCAGGAGCCCACCAGATGGAAAATACACCTGTTCTGGGCTGAAGCAGGAAGTGCATCTGAGGGTATCCACAGCTCTGCAGGTCCAGGAGACACAACCATTGAAAAGCACAAGGCCATTGCGCTCACAACCCAGGTTTTGCATCCTTAAGCACTGCCTGTCCTTCACCAGCAACAGGCGCCAGAGGATTTTGGAGTGAAATCCTGCCTGCTGGGACTATGCAACTGGAGGCTAATCGCTGTGCTCTTTACCACAGATGGAGAACCTCAACTGGCTTCTACCGTCATAGACACCATCATGTCTGGCTTGCCAGGACCACGAGGAGCTCCTGGCCCGGTTGGGCCACCAGGTAATTAACTCAGTTGGCCTGCAAAGCTGTAATGATGGGACAACATGCAAAAGAAGTTCCTGATGGAGAATGGGAATGGTCTGGCAGGGTTCATCCTGTGGGGGAGAGCAAGTGGCCCTCACTGGAAGGGCAGTAGAGTTGTGGGTCATGGAGGAGCAGGGGGAAGCAAGCAGTTTTCATATCTTTTGGTAATGGTAGATTTAACCTCAAAGATTCCTTGCCACTTTGACAGTGAAGAGGGGTATCTGTCGGCACCACTTGAGAAGATGATAACTGAAGAGTGTCTTTAAGAATGGTCTGACCACTGGATTACTTCTTTTGTGAGGGCAGAGCAGTTCTTACTGCTGATGCAAACCCTGGCTTTTGACGGCAGTGCTGCACTGAGCAGAAGCTGGCCAGCTGTTCTCAGTGACATTTATGCAAACTTTGCAGGCTTTGCAGCTATTTTGAGCTACTCCAGATTTGCACCAGCGTAACTGAGATGAGACTCTGGGATGAGAATTCTGTGGCAAGTCTTCTGTTTTTCAAAGCTGATGAGTGGCTTAAATGATAACATTCCTGCAAACATCAGCAATTTGCCATACGAAGCATATTTAGCAGTGAATTCCCATCAGTTGCAGAAAAGGCTTTCCCTTTTATTATAAGGGCCTTTCATTTATCCTTCAATTCATTTATTCTTTGATATAGACATTTGCATGGTGCATTAATGATTGTGGCTGATTCAGCTGTACGTTATGTGAATAATGTCCACGTTGTTTCATCTCAAGGGCTGTGACAGCTAAAGCAGAAAGGAGTATTACTAAGTTTGGACTGAGCAAATATCCTGTCTCCTTTTTGCAGGTATAATTTAACAGCTGCTGTTCAGATATAATTATTTTCTTCCAAGGAGAGTGAAGCTGTTAAGTGACTGCATAAAGCAAGTTGACCTGCTCAGGCAATATTTAACTCTTCCAGAACCACCGTGCTCCATGGTGGAGCCTTAAAAGAATATATTGCTACCAGAGTGAGCATGCAGAGATGAAAAGCCTGCTTTGCCAGTCAGCTGCTCTTTCAGCAACATCCAAATCCCATTTCATAAAATCATAGAATCCTTAAGGTTGGAAAGGACCTTTAGAGATCACCTAGTCCAGTGCCCCGGCACACGCAGGGTCACCCAGAGCATGTGGCACAGGGCTGCATCCAAGCGGGTTGGAAGATCTCCAGAGGAGACTCCACAACCTCTCTGGGCAGCCTGTTCCAGGGCTCTGTCACCCTCACTGTCAAGAAATTTTTCCTTAAGTTCCTGAGGAACTTTTGTTGCTTCAGTTTGTGGCCGTTTCCTCTAGTTCTGTCGGTGGCCACCACTGAAAAGAGGCCCGCCCCATCCTCCTCACTGCCTCCCTTGAGGTATTTATACACGCTGATCAGGTCCCCCCTCAGCCTTCTCTTCTCTAGGCTGAAGAGGCCCAGCTCCCTCAGCCTTTGCTCACAGGGCAGATGTTCCAGGCCCCTGATCATCCTGGTAGCCCTGCGCTGGACTCTCTCCAGCAGCTCCACATCCCTCTTGTACTGGGGAGCCCAGAACTGGACACAGTCTCCAGATGTGGCCTCACCAGGGCTGAGTAGAGGGGGACGACCTGCTGGAGACACTCTTGTTAATGCACCCCAGAATCACATTGGCCCTCTTGGCCAGCAGGGCACACTGCTGCCTCATGGTCAACTTGTTGTCCACCACAACGCTCAGGTCCCTCTTGACAGAGCTGCTCTCCAGCAGGTCAGTCCCCAGCCTGTGCTGGTGTCTGGGGTTGTTCCTCCCCAGCTGCAGAGCCCTGCACTTGCCCTTGTAGAGGTTTCTCACGGCCCAGTTGTCCAGTCTGTCCAGGTCCCTCTGGATGGCAGCGCAGCCCTATGGGGCATCAGCTACTCCTCGCAGTTTCATATCATAGCAAACTTGCTGAGTTTTTCATTCATTTCCTGAATGTTCATCATCAACTTTCACACAAAGCTAGACAGACACTCGAGCTACCTCGGGGACTTTGCTTTCCACCTGTGGGACTCCTCCTGCTTTAGAAACAGCAACTACAGTATCTTGCTGTGATGTAGCTAGTTTCATGGATCTAGCTTAAGATTCCTGAAAAACTTGTCATTTGGTAGGAAATGGAAATGTAGCATGTTGCTGGCATCCTTCCTGCCAGTGTTCCCCCCTCCCTTTTTTACAGAGCTCTAGGGTCTTCCCTAGGGAAGGCCTGCTATATTATATCAGGATGTGGGTATCCAGGAATCCAGAGTGTGATGAGTGCTTCTGCTGTAGTCCTGTGATCGATCAATGGCTCTTTTCCATTGAGAGACTCAGCACAGCAACGAGAGGAAGTGCATATGGTTGGAATTAAGGATCCTTCCTTCTAAATCTCCTTAAAATTGCCTCAAATGATGATTCTCACCAGGGCCACCAGGTGCATCAGGACCCAAAGGACCACCAGGACCTATCGGAGCCCCTGGATTGCAAGTAAGGCATTTTGGTACTTTTGCAGTGGAGTAGGGAAAAGTCAGAAGTTAAATGTGAAACATCTTCTCATTACAGAGAGACAGTGCTGTGTGTTTTAGAACTGAGGTTTTGTCCCCTGTGAAATTCTGTGATTTTAATACCTGGTTTTCATCCTGGATTGGGATGGGAAGTTGGAATAATTAGGCTTTCCAAACTTGTCCCTTAATCATAACAACACATTTTATTGTTAGTACATCAAAATGCTTTGCTGTGGCATGAGTTGATGCAAAATATTTTGTGGTTTGGGTCTGCAGTGGAGAGCCTCCCACTCCATGAGCTTCTCAGAGCTGGGTGGCCCTGTGCTACATCAAGCCCCAGTTTTACAGAGGTTTCCCGGTCAGTTGGAATCTCCTATGGGATGCCACCAAAGACCCTGTTCCCATCGTAGGACAGATGGCCTTTAGGAGTATTTTGAAGGATAAGTGGTGCAGTATTCAGGAAGCAACCCAAAACATAGAGACTTGGGCTATGCCAGCACCATCATAGAAAAATACTGTTTTTTCTTGTGGAACACACAAAAAGGACAGCACTGCACCCATGCAAATTTGCTGTAGTTGAGCCTGATTTTCAGAAATAGCACTTTTTGATAAAAATACTGAAATCTCCCTTTAGTTCTACTGTTGAATTATCAATGTAAAACCTGTGGAGGGTGGGAATGATCATGGAATGTGATGAACTTGCTCAAAACCCTTTTGTTCTGGGAGAAGGGCAAAGTAGTCGGGTGAACTGAAAATAGAAGTTTAAATGGAAAAAGAAAGTGAAGTCATGATGAATATGGAGAAAAGGTGAACGGCAAACTGCTCAAAATGGTGGCTAGCTGTAATGGAGGGATTTCAGTTTAGGGAAGAATGTTACTTAATGAGTGGTTTGGCTCTTAACACCAAACATTTCAAAGGCATGTGAGCTGACTAAAGGCATGAAAGTGACTGGGGAGAGCACAAGTTAATTTAGCTGAGGAACATCACTTGGACCCTGATATGAAGAGATTTGAGGTTGCTACAAATTAGAGAAATTGGATTTTGCGATGTATTTATTAATCACTTGGAAAAAGCAACGGACAGTAAGTTAGGGAAATTTTGTCAGTGTAGCAGAATCGTTTCAATTAGGGAATGCTCTGGAGGACCACAAGAAACTCCAGATAGATGTGAACACAGTGGGAGATTTGGCAGCAAAACGACAGCTGCAGCTTAACGTGATTAAACACAAGGTAATTCACAGGGGCAGAACCGTGGGCTCTGTAGCAGAGTCTGGCTTTTCACATGCAGCACACACAGTATGTCTTTTTTTTTTTTTTTTTTTTCCTGACAGATTTATTGAATTCAGTGTTCTTGAACATCCCTTTGTAAACAAGCACTGAAGCCGCTACTGAGGCTGGCAAGTGCAGAGGGCATGTACAGAACCCTGGGCTTTGGTAATGCTGCATGTTTGACCTAAAGCCAGGCCTGCTTTGCCCCCCAGCTTGTTCACCATCCTGAGATAAGCTCCAAGAGGTTTGCTAATCCCCTCGGTGGGGAGATAGGGCTGAGGAGCTGCTGATGGTGAACAGTGCTGCCTGCCAGCTCCTTTACTCCCACAGAGCATTAATACCTGCTCTTCTTGGACCACTTCATGAGATGTTGAGGAGCTTTGCCTCTTGCAGGGCTGCCCGGGAAGCCCGTTTCTGTGGATGCTGAGGGGAGTAGTTTCTGGGGGCTGTTGCACGGTTTAGCTTAAATCACCAGAGTTTTGGGGTGGAGCAGTGGTCTTACTGCCTCTAGTGTCCAAGGTGTTATGTGAGTCGCTTAAAATGGGGAAAAGCACCTTGCACCTGTAGCGATAACAAGCTGAGGAGCTGCCATAGGAAATATAAGCAAACAATATTGTTCTCTTCCTGTCTGGCTCGCTACTGAGGATTTACTGGCTGGGTGATTTAAGAGTTTGGATTTATTTCTGCAAAGCAGTTGAATTCTGGAGAACATGCCTTTCTTACCCATTGGTGACTGCTTTATAGATTTATTCAGCCCAGGGGCAAAATTATTAGTAGAGATTGAGCTTAATTTGAAAAATGTTTATTAGGATGAGTAAATCGCTTCAAAATAATTTCCGCTGCATGGTCCAATTATTTTTCAGGTATTTACGCTTACTCATGCCACTCACTGAGACTGCTGTGAACAGGAGGAGAATACTGGGAGCTTTTTGGTTAGCCATATTGTCTGTTTATATATTTTTCTTAAGAAAACTGAGAACAAGAGCAATCTTGTCCTACTGATCCATTGTCAAATGCTACATCAACGGCTTACATGGCAAAAGAGAATCCAGCCCAATTGCTTAACAGGAGTATGAAGTTTTCAGGCGTTGAGGATCACTGGGAAATGTGTTCACTATATTTATGCAAAGGATGCGCGGTGGAAATTAATTCCTTCTTTTCTGCATATCTTTTAGGGTTTACCGGGCTCTCCAGGACAGCCTGGGCCGAAAGGTTCCAAGGGAGACCGAGGAGAGAGGGTAAGATTTTTCTGCATTTCTTTGTCAGATTCCCCATCCAGTTTTCAAGTACCTGCTGTGGTAAAGATTGTTATTTGGACCTTCTGCTAAGTTTATCTCAAAGAAACACGTCAAAGCACTAGACAGGGGTTTTTGAAATCTCTTCTCAGATAGTCTGATTGCTCCAACTCTTTGGAGATGTTATCTCTGTAGGGATAGTCATTAGCAAGGGGATAGACAGTCATTTGTCACTAGATCTGCAGCATGTAGAGACTGGCACTGCTGGAGGGTCCACCGTTGCTAAAACCCTGGTATGGAGCAGATTCCAAGAACAAAAGGAAGATGAGGGGAAATAATATTAAGTTGTACCTCTAAAATGACATATGTCTTCAGAATTTTTTAGTAAGGACTTCCTAGTGCAGATCACTCACTTTGAGTAGTCACTGGCTTCACTAATACACTAGATCCTGAGGCAATTCTGGAACTGATGTTTAAGGGTCTGATAAACATTAAAACCTTAACTCATCCCAAGTTGAAATCTCAGCCCAAGTTACCCAGTATTGCTCATGATTATTAAATATCATTTTTAAAATTTATTTAAAAAAAAAAAAGGCTAGTATATGGCAAAGTATCAAGTTTCCATTCAGAAAACTGATAAGACTCTTCCTCAGTGATTCATTTAGAAGCATGATCTAATCTGTGGTTGACCATGCTGCTAAGAGTTTGACTACATTTCTTCTGAAACAAACGCTTTTTTGCACTATGCCCTTTGGGAGGATTTTTTGACTGGATGAGATGTAAATGAATCTCTTAAGCTCTGATTTCATTCACTGTTTGTTGAGATTCAGAAATGCAACTTGCCTAGATTCAGGATAAACGGGATTTTTGAATTTTACTAAAAACAAATTTTGTTTCCTGGTCCTTCCTCTGTTAGTTTGGAAAGTGATGCTGATAGCTTTTTTTCCTGGCAGAATTTCAGTAGCCTGTTTTGTGTGTTTTTGAGAACAACTTCTTTTGGGAATGTGGATTTGAATGCTGATTTTGACAACTGCATGCTGCAATTTTTGGTTTGGTGGATACCAATTAGGGCTAGCTTTACACAGAACAGAGGAACTGTGCAGCTGGTGCAACAAAAAATAAAACTGAGGAGGTTTTACAATATCTGTTGACATAGGAGAAAATGTCATTATAGCTTCTGCCTACTTAATCTCATAGAGAATAGACACAGAGGAGACCTGAGGCGGTCAGTCTGTCCCCTGGATGGCACATCTCTGCATTTGCCTTTCGCAGTCAGCATTGCTCATGTTTAAACACGTGCAGTGAAGGACACTCCACAGCATCTCCAGGCGATCTGCAGAGGTGCAGCGAGGGAGGGACTGGGCTAAAACAGATATTCCTGACATCCCATCTATGCATCTTTGATCCCCTTTAAGCTGCTAACATCCTTTCCCATTGCCAGTAGACACAGAGGGCAGCCTATTTATGTATTTAGTGTATGTTGTTATTCTCCTTGCTGCAATGTGCTGCTTGCCAGTGCTTTCTCACAGGCCTTAGCCCCTCCAGTGCAGAAACCAGGTATTTCGTTTTGAAGAAGGCAGCAGCACATGACAAATGAGACCTTATTTCTAATGCTCTTCATGGCAATACGTGGCTGTGCCCAGTGCTGGCTGCCTCCTCGCTCAGCATGGCACCAGTCTCTGTAAGTTATGCTTTGGTAGATGCCCAGGGCTTGGGCTTTTATACAAAGCAGCAGACTGGCTGGACACAGAGCAGATTAGCTCTTCCCTTCTGGCAAACCCTGCAAAGGAGCTGTTGCCAGCTGGATGTGTTTTTTGGAGTGAAAATTCAGGGTTTTTTTTTCCTGGGTATGGGTTAAATATGCGACTGTTTTGTCAACAGATGTTTAAGGATACTTTAAAATTTTACCTCCTTTTCCCGAGTTCCTGCTTTCTGTGAAATAGTTCAGTGTTCCTCAGGTTAGGCTTTTTGCCCCCACCCTCATAGTGCTTGACAGTGGGGAATAAAAACAGAGGAAAAATATGGGGGGAAAAGTGCTCATTCTGGAACTTCATTCCATCTCAAACCAACACATGCCATTGCAAAGTGTTTCTGTGCTTATGTTTTGATCGCTAGCTGCTGGATTTAATGCAGGGATGTATGTGCAGAGCAAGAGACAGATTACATCAGTGTGCAAATCAGTGCTCAGTAGGTGTCCAGAGCTCTGCTTGCTGTCTAGGGCAGCAACAGCAACCTGTCCATTTAATGGAGAGAAGAAGGTGGTATCTTTGTCAGAAACAAATCTCCAGCCAAATTCCTTCCTGGTACGGTGTAACTGACTGCTTTAAAATTCAAAAAAGTGCCAGTCATCTTACTGAGAGGGTACGGAGCTGAGTATTTCTATATCTAACCAAACTTCTTCAAAGCGTGATAGGATTTGGAGCTCATGCTTGACAGAAACCATGACCCCCCCCCCCCTTTTGCTGTCTCTAAGTGATAATGTCAAGGGAAAGAAATGTCTTCATATTATCCCAAGTGTAAGGTTTTTCATTAAGCCATCTTAATTCCACTAGTAAAATTACATTATGTTCTTGTCAAATGGAAAAATATCTCCTAATGACACTTACTTTATTTCCAACTTACTTTATTTCCAACAGGGGCAAGCGGGTCTGACTGGAGAGAGGGGCATTAAGGGATTTCCTGTAAGTGATGTACTTGTTTGCAATACTGGAATGGTTTGGGTACCTGCCTAGCATGTCCGGCACCTTAAATACTGCCGTGTCGGAGTGCAGCTGGTTCAACTATCTCTCTCAGATACAACACTTAAGTCACTGTCTCCAGTTCAGTGACTTTTTTTTCAGGCAAGACCTTACCTTAAATGAGACACAAGCTTCCTGCATATTTAGCGTATGCTAAAATGCAGAATTCACAAGAGAGGGCCCAAAGAAGGAGGAGATGGCTGCACTAATAGACAGGGCTAGGATGAAAACAAAGTGGTAAAGATGAATGTTGGGCGAAACTCAGCAAGTTGGTTTTATTGGATTGAAGTATCCAGAGGGGGCCTAGATCCTCTAAAATGATCCTCTCTTCCTTAGTACCACCTCATCGTTTCTCACTCCCATGACCTCTCTTTGAGTCCTGCCTTACATCCCCACCTTGCTTTCCAAACATCTTGGGGATGTCCAGCAAGTTTAAGGAGTCCAGGCATTTCCAGTTTAGTTTATTCAGCAATTTGTTAGGCTAGTCCCTTGCCTTATGTTTAGCTTGTGGTTTATTCTTTCCATGTCGTCTGCTCTTTGGGAACTGCTTGCCCTTCCTGGTTAGGGAGAACAGCAGCAATCAGACCAGCAAAGAACATAGGGGTCTTTGTTGAAGAAAAACTTAGTGAGCATTTTCAGTGGCAAAGTGATGCGACTAAATACTGAAAGTAGAAAGCAGGTTTTTATGTGCTAAGTAAGCAATGGAAGCATGTTTGGGAGAGGGGAGCACTGCTTTTACTCCAGTCTTTTAACTGAGAAGTGCTCACTGAGAGCTTCTCGAGATGTGCGTGGCTTTGGTTGAGCAGCCAGGCTATGGCAGCCTTTCATTGCAATGCAAATATTCTCTGGCTTTGGCCACCCCGAAGGAAGCTCACCAGTGACAGAAATGGTGGTGCTGCCCCCCAGGAGTCAGACCAGAGCTCACTGGCTCACCTCAGCCCTTGGCCTGAAGTGCCAGAAAGTTTGTTTTCTGCTGATCAAGCTATGTTGCCTTTTTAAAAATTTGTCTGGAGGGAGGGAATGTGAGTGATCGTGTACAGTATGTCTGTTCCTTGTTCACATGAAAACACATTTCTCTTTATTGTTCTAGGGTGAACCAGGCAAGAAGGGTGAGGAAGGTGATAAAAGTGCAGATGTAAGCATGTATTTCTACTGTTTTACTTAGTCTCGTCTCTCTGCTCTCCTTAGGGCCATATTCTCCTTTCCAAGCTGCTCTGGGGAGGCAGGAGTCCTGTCCAAAGTTAGAAGGCCAAGAGATGGCATAAACTTTGAATGCAAACCTATTACAGACTAAAAATCAAGGTCCCTGAGATGTGCTTGACCATATTGTCATCTGCAGTCGGAGCATCTCCTCAGTCCTTAAGGCTTATTTCTCCACACAAAATTGCTAGTAGGTAGGCAGATACACATGCCATGTTACTGCTAAGGAACACATATGCAAAAGGGATCAAACTGCCCATGCGGAGAACTGGAGTTCTCAGATCTCTGTTCTGCCACATGAAAATCTTTCCAATGTCAATCTGTCCTTAAGACCCCCTGTCTAGGGTAATGGAGGCAAAAGCCTGAGCTTATGTAAAATGAACAAGAAGCCTTCTGCAAACATACAGCAGTGTAAGTGTTGTTTTGTTTTTGTTTCTCTCCTTGCAGGGCGAAGGTGTTCAACAACTTCGAGAAGCTCTGAAGATTTTGGCTGAGAGGGTATTAATTCTTGAGCACATGATAGGAATTCATGGTAAACAGCGTTAAAAGCTTTCTTTTCTAGACACCTGGGAGTCCGTTCTGGGGGCTGCCAAGCACATTGGCCTGGTCTCCTAACCCAATCAATTTACCTATTTAACCAGGATTTTCAAAATTAGGTACTCAACATGACTTAAAGGCCTCCACCCCCCAGGACTGCCTATATTAGCCATTGTATAAATCGTCTGTTTGGCCTTACAGAAGAATGAGGCATGTGGTACTGTTCTCTTGAAACAGTCACTGGAGCAAACTGCTTTCACTGGCATAAATGGACTTTCTGTTGTTGCTTGGGAAGGAGCTGAGTTATTTGCACCCCTGTATGCATTTATACCCATGTAGCTGCATCAGCCCAAATAGGAGGTGTTTAACTGTACAGTGTAGTTAAGGCCATGTTTAGACACCTGTGTTGCATGACTTTATATAAATGCTTCCTTTTTTATCCTCTAGGTTTCTGAAACTTTCCCACTCTTTAACTTATGACATATTTAAGCTATTTAGGAAGGAAAAAAAAACTTGGAAAGTAAGTTATTTCTTCTGTGTAATTCTGTTCATCTTTATATGTGTATATGGTCCAAAAAAAAAAGGCAAAGATATAAAATACCGAAACAGGATTTTCTTTCTTTCTTTGCTGCACTGAAAGGCATCACACAGGTTAAAATCACCCGACACCAACTATCTGGTCTCGTTCCCACCGTAGATGTTGGGAATTTTACCGCAGGTTCCTGGGTAGCCCAATTCCTCCCTCTTTTTAAAACCCACACAGAAATGCCAACCGCAAGCTCTCATTTTCCCAAGAAACTTCACCATCAACGTGATTTCCAAAACCACAACCACCTAAGCAACAAGGCAAAACAGACCAACAAATAAGATGCTGTGGAGCAGCAGAGAGCGGCCCAGCGGGGCACAGAGAAGCCCCAAGGGTTTGGCAGCCTTGCGTGCCAGCAAACACAGCCCAAAGCCTGTGTTCGCCAACTGCTCCCCTGAACCAGCCGTGCTGCTTCACAGGACCGGACCAGGACTCTGTGCTTGGCTTGCAAGGCTGGACTCTTGTCACTGAAATGAGCAGATACCCTTCTCTGGAGGCGAAGGGAAAAAGCAAGCAGAACCTTAGAAATGGTGAGGCAGCACGGGAGCTAGCAGGGAGGAAAGAATAGCCATATTCAACATATATTTAGCTTCATAGAGCAGAACTCTGTAGAAAGAGGAAGGGTGTGTTAATGAGAGACATGCTAGGAGAATCAACAGACTATTTTTACATATATATATATGTGTGTGTGTATATATATATTATCCCAGCTTTATCACTAAGTTGGCTGTAGCATAGGGTGGGCCATTCAGTCCTTTCAATGCCTCAACAAGTCCATCTTTTCACAGAGTGAAATGGCATTTAAGCACCCGGGAGCATGATGTCTCAGGGACCATTCGGTGAAGCCTTCTCCTTCAGCTGCAGGAGGCTCTGGGCAATGCTAAGTCATGGTTACAGCCCAAGCAGATAGATATAAAACAAGGATAAGAGCAGTATGTTATAGTCACAGGGGGGAGCAGGAGCTGTTGTTCTGCAGACAGCAATATTTCTAGCTCAGCTTTGAGCTAAAGGACAAGCCCTAATAGCATAGTAGTGTGATGGCAGCCACCACGTAGCTCCCCAATGGTTTGGGGGAGAAAAAAGAGGCACAGGGAAGGCACTTCCTTACAGAAGAAGCATCCTTCAGAAGGGCCCATTTACTCCTTCCTTAGCCTCCCCTTTTAAATAGCGCTCTCCCACGACTTTCTCTCCTTACAGACTCTTTATCTTCCATTGAGCCAGGCTCTGGACAAGATGTGATTCCCAGCTCCCCGCTGCGAACCAGCATCAAGATCAAGCGTGGAGGACCCCAGCACCAACAACAGCCCCATCAGATCCTCTCTTCGCTGCTGGATGACAGTGAAGCAAGAAGGAGACGCAACTGAAGGAAGTAGGAGCAGCTACATGTCCTTCAATCCTGCTCACCAGTTTAAGATACAGTATCCTGTGTTTAATTGCAGTGTGCAAATGAAGTGGGTAGGAGGCTGCAGCATTAGCAGTGAGGTTTCCTTACCTGATCAGCACTAAGCCCTTATCACAAGGAATAGCTTAGTCATAGCTCAGAGAGGGTCTTAGAAACATTTTTCTTGATCTCATTTTTTTGCCTTTCAAATACCACATGGCAGGTGTGACACCTCCTGACTGCGGCCAATAGTTTAATCCTTCTCTTGTCTTTCATGGGCCTCTAAAGCATTTTCCCTGTCAAGAATATCTCTTAAGCAAAAAATAAATAGGGGAATTCAAAGAACATTTAAAATAGTTACTCTGAAAAATCAGTTTTACTCTTGGGACATGAGCATCAAAAGCTAGGCTTTGCATTTTGTTGATTGCATAAGACTTTTTTTTTTCTACCTATGGTTAGCTGAGCAAGGATCTCAGGTGCAAATCATGGCATCCACTGACTTTCTGTCTATTTAAATAGGTTTTTTTTTTTTTTTAACTCTGTGTCAGGGTTTCAAATCCAGCCCAGGCGAAAAGTGAGCAAATTATCTTTGTCATTTTATGGCATAATAAGGTAAATTGGTCATGTCCCATCTAGCTCTTAGTGCAAGATACAGCTATCTCAAAAAGATAATGTCTACTCCTACAGGTGTGTCTGGCAAAAGCTCTGGCAAAGACCAAGAACTGGGCTGTCCATGTATCCAGGAAGCCCTAAGACCCAGCAGGATATTTCAGAGAGAAAGGGAAGCGTGTGTGAAATGGGGCTTGGCTTGCAGGGGCTCTGCCTGCCGACTTTAGCCTCCCATCAGCTAGCTTTTCCGGATACATTGTGAAGGTGGTAGACGAGCCCTACAGAGATTTCAGAACAACCAATTTTGTCCTCTCAGAAGCATTATTTTCTCAGAAATAAAGATGTTAAAGCTACTTCCAGAGAGACTGTATTCACCATTAATTTGGGCCTGTCCTTCTGAAGTCTAACCAGGTCACCCAAAACAGATGATCGATCACATTTGACTGTGTTTCTAGATTTTCAATTATTTGAAACAAATTACTGGCAATATGAAGGGAAATTTAATTGAAGTTTTTTTGCAACTAATCCTGCCAAACTGCTTGTCAGACTACTGATTAGGGTCAGACTGCAATGGTTCTAACTCTGGATTCCTATAACAAGCTATGTAATTTTTTGCTTCCCACCCTTCTTACTTTATTTAGCTACATCTCTCTTTTAACGCAGTACTGTATCTTGAATTTTGGTGATAGCAGGATTATACCAAATGGACTTTCTGTCAGCAGAGGATTCAGTTCTTATTACTCACACAACAGTCAGACCACGTTGTGCAGTCGCAGTTTAAAGATGTTTTAAAGGTGAACACAGCCTCATACGCCGACAATTAATGATCTTCATGACAAAGCAAACTACTCCAACCACATTTTCCATCTTAGGCAGGATACTAAGATTCATTTTAGCCAAGGCTTATATGCATCTTGCCATGTCTATGTAACTTAGAGTGGATTTATTTTGGATGCGTGCTCATTTAGCAATATATTTTGAAATGTTTAGCTTTATCTTACATGCATACTGTGCAATACCATAGTGTTTCTTAATGTTTCTTGGAGCTCCAATGTGTTTTTGACTTGGATAGGTTCTGGTGGTAGTAATGCATTTTCCTTGCCTTGAGCTAACCAGAAGCAGCAACAGAATATTGCACAACTTAACATTTTTGTTATTTGTGCATCCTGATGTTCACCAGCAATCTGGTACTCCAGGGAGGTGAAGAATATTTCTCTCCAGAGTATCCAATTTGCACTTAACTGTACAAAACTGAGAGAAACCCAGGGAAATAGGAATAAACTGAAGAGAAAGGCCCCTGCCTGCTCCCACCACGCTCCATAGCAAGCTCACCATCAACTTTAATAGGAGTAGGGACGGGCCATAAAAATGGGATCCAAATCTTCAGCTCGCAGGATGCTGGTGGCAGAGCAGCCCAGGCAGCGCTCAGGCTTTCTGAAACTTTGGTTCTGGAATCCTGGTTCAGTCCCAGTCTTTGAAACGAACTGTTTCGATGTAGGAACCTAACCACTGTGACAAGGCTTCCAAAAGATGATCAGCTTCTGGAATTATGTCTCAGGACAATTCCTGGGAATATGACTCTGTTTCACGATTGCAAACTTGGTATTGTTGTTGTTGTTGTTTTTGCTACATTCCAGTAAGGTGATTGATGATAAAAGGGTTTGAACTACTTGCAGTTTCTGTGATTGCTTTGAAATCGAGTAATTCTACGGTGCTATAGTTGTCCATAAAGCAAATACCCACCCATGGAAGGAAATGTTAACTTTTTCACTAGTTACTTTACACAGTATTTTTTTGTTTATATCAGTGTGTTTCATACACGTGCAAGTGGTCTCAACATCTCTCTTTGAGATTGATCTCTTATAGAGCAGCCATATGCAGTATCTTGTGTTTACATATAAGTTCTTAGGGCAGAAATAAGTCTCTTCTAACATGAACTTGTTTATGGCAGGCTCTGATGTTTGCTGTCAGACTTTACCAGTGGAGCAAAAAAAAAAAACCCCACCTGTTTGTTCCACCACTTGCATCATTACTTACCTGTTTTTGTATTGCTATGTTATGTTCAAGTTATGTTCAAGTTATCTATTTCTCTTTATTTGCTATGGGTTTTGTTACTGTATATGGAATGTTTTGTATTCAGCATTTTCTTACAGAACAGAGTGGGAGCAGTATTCAAGAACCCACAAGTACCAAAGACCTTTCATGTAATGCACTGAGAAATAAACTTACTGTAAATGAGTATCATGTCAAGCATCCTATATTTACCAAACTGACAGCAAGCTCAAGCAAACCACCTTCTGAAACTGGAGCAGCAGTGTTTCATTGCTGCATCTCAGCTTGCTCTCACTATACATATGCAAGTGTCTTAAAGTGGTGCACAAAGCCACAATTTCTAGTCATCCACAGAACAAAATCTGATAATTTCCTTGTCCACGATGGGACTAATTCTTCCCCAAATATTGTTGGACATTTCACCAACAGAGCTATTATTTCAGGAGTTTGAGATGTGACAGTTTGAGCTTTAGAAGTTGTCCTTTTTGTTGCTGTTTGCTTGTGTTTTCCTCATCATAGCAAAACCTAGAGATGTATAAATCATGGACAATTCCTGCCACAAACTGTGGTCTGCGTAGAGCTGCAGCGGCCAATATTGCAGCAAAAGCTAAGCTCTATAAACAGCGAAGCAATGCCAGAGATAAGAGTCAAGGCTTCCACCTCATACAGGCTGAGGACAAACTCAAGGTTACTTGTTGCCAGATGTTCCCATGCACCACTTCTCTGGGTCTCCCAGGGTGTATTTATCTTGGTTTTGCCTCCAAACATCTCCAACTCTTGATACAGTTATCCCTTTGAAACTCCTCTGAGGAAAGGCAGTTTGTTAATCACTACTGTACAGCTTGAGAGCTGCAGGATAAAAGATTAAATTAATTCCTTAGCATGTTTGGGGCCGCCCTGGTCTGCTGGGCACCAAGCGAGCACTTGGGTCATCTTGGTCTCTCAGCCTTGCTGTCTTCCAGTTACGAACAAAGCAAAGGGAAATGGACTGGTAGATTTTGGCAAGCAGAGCTTCACGTTTTTGAAGCTTCATATCCAAAGGTCTGGACCATATCTTTATAACCCACCTCCAATCTTTGCACAATCTCCCCAGAAAGGTCTAGCCCTACAATGACTGACAACCAGATCTTAGCAGTGGGGCTGGTCCAGGGTGCAAAATATCTGGCATCAAAATTTTGGAATGAGCCTGGCCACAGACTTAAGGAAAGCTGGGGGTTATGCTCCCCAATCTCAATCCTGGGAAAGTCTGAGATAGAGGGACCAGCTTTTTGCCTCTGCATGACAAGACTTGCATACATGCCAACAAAGTTTAATTTATATATAACTAAATGGAGTAAATGATATAACAAATAAACTTTAGACTTAATTCAGAAAACAAGATGGCAAGACGCATGGCAAGGTTGTGGCAACAACTTATCCTCATCCATAAAAGACACATGGCACCTGGGTCTACCTGGTCACAGGAGGATGTGGTTTTATCGAAGATAAAATTGTAGCACTCCTGGCTCAAAAGACTGCATCAGAGAGGGCAAGAGTTTTTGATTCTGTAGCAAGAGAGGAAGCCAAAAAAAAAAAAAAAAAAAAAAAAACACAGGTAAGAAGGAGCCGAGTTTCTTCCTTTCCTTTCCTTTCCTTTCCTTTCCTTTCCTTTCCTTTCCTTTCCTTTCCTTTCCTTTCCTTNAAAAAAAAAAAAAAAAAAAAAACCACAGGTAAGAAGAGCATCATCTTCTCTGTAGCAGCCATAACTTTTCTTCTAAAGAAGTCACGTTACTCTTTTGGAGCTGCCATCCTTACTGACACCGGGCAAGAACGTGGCTTAAACATGCATGAAGGCTGACACTAATGGACTCAAGCACAGCATTTGTGACACAAACTATGGAATACATTATAGAAATGATTGAAAGGAACCTAGAGTCATAGTGGGCTGGGCATGAGGGGAGGGGAAAAAAAGAGATATTAATAAAGAGGCGATACCCTTAACACAAGGTAAAAGGCTCCTTGCTGCTAATTAATTGCAAGACAAGTCTCCTCCATCTCCACTGTGCTCCCAGACAGTGCAGTGAGTTATGGGCAGGCTTGCCACCTCAACCCACTCTTTACAAGACGATGACCATAAATAAGCAGTTTTCCTTCTGTCGTCTATCCACCCATGTTCCTTGGGGCACTCTGCCCTGAAAAAAAATATTCCCCTCTGGTGCTCGGTCCAGGCTCAACAATCTTTATGATTTCCAGTCTGACTCTTTCCATCCACCTGTTTTTCCCATCTAGACTAGACCAATCTCCGACTCTTTCCTCCTGCCCTGTTTCCGCTCCCTGTCCCCCTGGACACCTCTCTGCTCTCTCTGGGAAAGCAGCACTGGGGCCAGGCAGAGGTGCCAGCTGCAGAAGGGGCTAGTTCTCGCCTACAGTCCATGCTTAGCTTTGCATCTGCTTATGCCTGTCACTGCAATTAATGCCCCTTTCACAAAGGCAGGAGGCTGCTGACGTTCTCAGCTCCCAAGCCACCACTGCTCAGCCTGACTCTTTCTGGAAGATGTGCTGCTTCTTCCCAACCAAGCCAAATATCTTCTTCTTGGCCCCATCAAATTTCACCTTAGATTTTTTTTTCAGCCCATGAGTTTTGATCAGCTCATATGCTAATCCTCCCATCTACTGCCTCCCAGTTCTATATTATCTGTTGATTTAATGAACAAATCTGCTCAATTCTTTTATGAAAACAACAAAAATAAATCAAGTACCGGAACATGTCCTGAAGACTAATCCCCTATCAGAGATAGCAAGGCTCTGGCATCAGTTATTCGGTCAGCTTTGTGCCCACCCTACTGTGGGGTGGTTACTGTAGACCATATTTTTTGGATGAGAATATGACACACTGAGAATGACACCAAGTTTCCAAAGCCCTTCTTCTATAGTCAAGCTAGCTGACATCTACCTGCCCTACTATATCCATAAGGCCTGTTAACTTGTCACAAGAACAAAGGAGATTTATTTAATGTGATTTGTACTTGACAAATCCATGTCAGCGGCTGCTATTCTTCTTGTTATCCTCACGTGCTTTCAAAAATGTTGTTTAAGGATGTGTGTCTGAATTCTCTGGGTTTGAAATTAAGCTGCTCAGCAATTTCCTAGGGTACGTCGTCTCCTCACTAAACAGAGGTTCTTCATCTGCCCTATTGCCGTCTTCTGGTGACTAATCCAAAAGTTCTCTAAAGTCAGTAATAAAAAAACCCTGCAATTCCAGCTCTGCTCTTCAGCAGCCCCATGTAGCACTCTTCAGGCCTCATCAATCTGCAAGCTCCTCTTCTGCCTAGCATTCTCCCTATTTTTGGCTGAGCTCTCGGTGTTCTCTTGCTGCTCTTAATTGCACCAGCTGCCTCAAGACGGTGCAAAAAAATCTACTTAACACGTCAGGCCCCTCGGTTACTGTCCTTCCCTCACCACTGCATAGCTGCACAGTCCCCTCACCATGACGTTACTTGTGGTCTCCTCACCCCCGATTGCTAGCAGAGGTGTTCATGCATGCCCCTTTACATGATGAGCCCCCAAGCCAGTGTATTCACCTCTGCTACACGAGGAGATGCTTTCTCTATTACAACACTCTCAAAGCAAGAAAATCAGTAGTAGATAACAATAGTCAGGTATGGGACAGCTGTTTTAAGAGAAGTGAAAAAGGAGAGATAGGAATTAAAAGAAAAAAAAGCTCCTGAGTAGCTCAAAAGAAGGAAATTCCTATAATTTTTTTAACCTGTTATGTTATTTGCCCTCCACATCTATAGCAGTTACAATTTAAATAAAAACCTGTGCAATGTCTACAGTGCTTGCTTGCTGATCCCACAGAGCTCTGCAAACCTGCCTTAAATAAATCGCCTGGGACAGCTCCATTCATTCACCCCTGCGAGAGCAAGTCCTCAACGTGTTTGCATCTCCAGTCCGAACAGCTCCAGTCCTTGCTCAGCACATCCCTTGGGTGCATGCTAGATATTTGCAATTTCAGCCACATTTGCTCTGCCCCACAGTTGGTGTAAAATGGCAAAGCGCTACACTGAATTAAGTCAGATAAAGGTCTAGCTCCTTGGAGTTCAAAAAAATAGGGATATATCTTCCCCCTGGTGTGAGGCATTCAAGTTGTATATAGCGAGTTAGATTGTGCTGCAGCTTGGCCTGCAGAGAATAAAGGTTTCCAAGCAGGTTCCTCATTCTGCAAGAAGGTGGGGATGCTTTTTTTTGTAAATTTTTATTATTATTATTTCTGCATCTATGGTTTTATTATTTTTCCCCAGCTACCATTTGTTTGACAGTGATGAAAGGAAGCATCCAAGACTACAATCTGCTCCTTGCCGTCATGCAGGGAGTTCACGTGGCTATTCACAGAGCTGCTGTTGTGGGCTACAGAAACTCCAGTCCCTTCTGGCTTATGAGGGCTATCAACTTCAGGTTTAAGCTCTTTAAAACACAATTAAATACAGAACTGTATTTGTGCACCTTGGCATGGGCTCATAGGAGAAGCTATGACCTATCCGTCCTCTCTGATTTAGTCTTCCCTGTCCTTGTGTTTCACAAGCACAAGACCAAGATCCTGTTGTGCAACGTGGTTGGTTCAGAAATGCAGAATAGAAGGTTTACCTCCACCAAGACAGATAGCTTATGACTTTCCCAAGGATTCCCAGAAAAACATATACTATACAGCAATAAAAGATATTTACATCAGTTAAACATCACCCACACTCTCTAAAGAGAGTGATATTCTTTTAATTATAGTCACACAGCTCCTGCGTATCTACAAGTTATACATAAGAGAGAGCTACTCCTGAGGGTTTTCTTCAGATCACCAATAGCCAATTTCATGTAAGGTACAAGATCTGCTTAAAGAAAATTTGTTCATAAATCTAGGAAATAAGCACAGGCTATAAAAATAATGAAATCCCTATTACAGCAGCAATGCCAGTGACACCTCAGGCTGTTAGCTACTGAAATGGTCGTTAACCACAAGGAAGGAATTT